CTGGTTCCTCCCTTCGGTGCTCGCGCCTTGGGCGCGCTGTTGTGCCGAGCTATTCGCCTTTGCCACGTGTTGAGTGATTACGAGGTCGGGCCAAATCTTCCTTCATCAGTGTCCTTTAACGTAAGCCCGCCAAGCGTAGGCAAAGCTAAGCCTGTGTCAGACCGTGACACTGGGTCAATTGACACAAAACCGACCTTTAATGATAGGGGTATCTTATGGGTTGGTTTGTTTCGGTTGCAAGTAATTTGGTTAACCCAATTGATTTAATTGGGTTGGGCCAATGAAAATAGATTAATTCGGGTTATATTGGTTTTAATCAATTTATCGGTTCAATTATTCGGTTCAAAGGACAACCCAGAACTAATTTGTTAAACTAAGAAACGTGGTTTGGTTGGATAAAAGATTTAAAACAACAAATTTAATTAACAATTGTTGCAATATTATGATTAAAAGAATATAATTTTAAAAATATCAATTTAAAATATAAAATATTAGCATAAATCATAACCAAATCTGGTCGTTTTTTTATCGATTTACACGACCAAACCGAAACTAACTCCGACCTCTCAGTTTAGTATAATGCATGAACCGAAACTGATCACCGAATAAATTAAAAAAATTAAGAACTGATCAAATCGAATTGGTCGATTTGATCAGTCTTATAAACATCCCTACTAAATGAAAAAACTGCCTTCAAGCAGCAAATAGTCGGATTAAGTACTGATGCAACCATCGTTCTGCACACAAGCGAAAGACAAGGAAACTGTGGATGACTGGATGTGGCCATCTGGTCCGATCCATGGGCTCAGTTGGTCTGGAGTTACTTAGAGTGTGTTAAGACAGAGATACCCTTCTCTTTATTAGAAACTCCCAAGATCTCTAAAAAACTGGCCTAATCGCTTTCATTGTCAAAAATCAAAATCACGTGGGTTGTACTTGTAATTATGAAGTGCTTCCTGAAGAAATTGCTTAGTATAAATGGATTATGCTGCTAGGAGCATATTAGTCTTCTCACATCTCAAAGAATGAATGAGGAAGGGGTTTGGTGTATTTTCACAAAAAGCTTAAATCCTTCAAGTTCAAGCTGTATGAATATGATGTGAGCTTTCTTTAGGTAGTCGTTGGTGGAATCTCTTTATCGGAGTCAGTGAAGTGAAGCTACGTACGTTTTTACCTTCCAACTGAAAGGTCTTTGGACTTGGACAGGCTTCATGGGGAAGTGATGAAATTGAACCCACTGGCATCTCTCTCGTTGTTGGCCTGTGTTTATACGATGCCAATTCAATGGTTTGGATAGGCGATCACAAGATCAGCAGGTATTCTAGATGTATGGTTCATATTCGTTGTAGGATCTGCCTATGATCATGCATCGTGTGGTCAAGATTATAGAGGATAGCATACCAAACTGCCACCTGATTCTCATTAGGGTATAATAAGTTCATCCAAAAACAACAAAAAATGCTTGAATACCATACCAGCCTTTCTGTATCATAGTTGGACTCAAATCTCTTCTAATATTTATGCCCTTCCACTTTGGTGAACCACACAAAGCCACACTAAAAAAGATCAAAAAAAGGTAGAGAAAGAGAGAAAACAGTCAAAACAGGGTTGTTTGTTTAAAATTCCATGAAGTAATAATAGAACAAGGAAATACAACAAAAGCCAGCTAAAGACCTGGTTTGGGGGAGTGAGGCACGACTCGAATCGCTTCAGAGATAGCCTATAGCCTTGGTTCTCCCAGCTAAAGCCAATGACGACTGTAGACATATTTGTTGATCATTACAGAGACGTGGACATCTCCGTTGTCACTGGTATTGGTCTCGCTCTTACTCGCTGTGGGTTCTATGTAAAATTTGATTTTTCTTTTTCTATTTCAAAGTCTTATTGTGAACTACTGGATTGGTTCAAAGTTAGTACATTGGATTTGGTGGGTCTACTGCTTTTTCCTTGAAAGAAAAATGTTTTAAACTAGGAGCTTATGGGAACTGGGATTGCATATTTGTTTCTTTCTCCTATTTCGCCTTTTTCCTCATCTCGACATTTGCTAAATTTAATCTACTTTTGTCATGCATAAATTATCTGAAGATATTTTTCTTCTCACTTTGGTTCTATCTGCTTTGCTTCTTGCATTTGCATGCTTGCCTTTTTTTACCAGACAAGTTTTTTTTCTTCTTTAATTTTCTTCATTTTGTTTGAAAGCTCGATCAAATAGAAACATCTTCAACCTTGTCTGGTTTTATTTTTATTATTCTAATGAAGAAGAAGAATAAGGAGCCTGAGTTGAAGTTTCTGATCCGCGAATGCCCTCTAGACTTCGAGGTCTTTAGGTTGAGGAGCATTAAAATGCTTCTTCTATTAATAGTGTTAATGTTGTGTAATGTGTATGACCTTAATTTTTCTGACTTGATTGTTCCAATATTAACCGCTGAGCTTGAATCAACTGCGCCCATCCATCGTCACAGTAAATCCTTGTGGCCGTCCATTGAAACAAGGACATGTTCAGTAGCGAGCCAAGCTCTTTCCTCCGATCACCGGTGATAATTGTTGGTCATCGCTGATTCGAGAGGGAGAAAGAGAGAGAGAGAGAGAGGAATGAGTTTGGCGAGAGAGGAAAGGGAAAACGAAATATTATAGGTTTTCATATGGAGTTCGAATGGAGCCTAACGGCCTTGATGCCTTGATGGGCAACGATGTTTACTATCCCACACACCTTAAATAGCCGCACGAAGCAAAGGACGCGTGGCATGTCGTCCTGCTGCGCGAATGGTGCGAATACAAAGCCTGCCCTGATAGAAGCCGGATTGGTTTGTAAGGTACTTCAAAAATTCTTTTCCTATAGCCCAAACAAGCCCTATTTTGAAGTTTTTCTTACATAAAATCTCCCATTTAGCTGCAAGTAGAACAAAAATATGAATGATTTTGTGGAAAAACGATATTCAGTGAGAAACTTGAAAGCTAATTTGTATGGTGGAAACTTGAAAAACAAACTTAGATGGTTGAAACTTGAAAGCTAATTTATATATATCAGGGCTAGATTTTAATCAAGAAATCTAGCCTTGATTTTCAGAAAATGAGTTATGGGTGATTAGAAGGAATGTCATTCTCATATAACTATTATTATTATTATTATTATTATTTTTTTTGAAACCGTTTGTTTATTGATCTGGCAAAACCAATAAATTAAAATAAAATAATGTTTCTCATGCTCCTTAAAAGCTCTGTTGGTTTGGAATACAAATTTGAAACGGATGCAAATATTGCACCCGGTTCATCTTTGCATGGTTGCATTCATTTATTTGTGAATCGTGATTATGATTTGTACTTTTACTTGCTGCAAAGTTTGCATTTTTTGTTTCATTTACACTCATTAAGAGTATAAATTTTGCATCTAAAAAAGCTGATGCATTTTACACTCATTTACACCCAAAGGCGATTGACTGTTGAAATTTAAAATCCATTTTTAAAACAATTGGGCACAAATTCCCATTGAAATTTTTTATAAAAAATTATTTTACATTTTCTAATTATAAATAATTTTCCCCAAAAGATTTTTATTCCCTCACCGACACTCACTTGGAAACTGGGATCATGGTGTGTGAAGCCCCTCTTCTCTGAGTTCTCTCTCATCGGTTTCCTTCAGAGGTAATAACATGGCAAACACGAGGGCGATTTCGTCATTAAATTTATCATTTTGCAAATGAGAGAGGTCATTGTTGTCATTCCAGAAAAAGTAAAGACGTGTTAATACAGTAGTGACGAGTTTACTCGCCAAGGTAGACACTAGACAAAAGAGATAAATACGGTCTTTAGGGGGCTTCTCCCTCCATCGATCGAAACCAAAGAAGCTTCGCGGGTCTCCGTTGTTGCAGAAGCCTCTCGCAGGGAGGTTCTTCTCTCTTTGTGTGTCCGTTTCCGCATTTGTAGCAGGTCAGTTCTTCTTCCACCTCTGAAACAATTATCGTTGGCATTTTCATTTTCTTGTAGGTAAAATGATGTTAAACTTGTTATTGCTAGCTTAGAGAATTGCTTCTTGTTTGAATCTCTAGATCTACAGAGAAATTTCAGCATTTCTCTTATACATCTAGTCTAATCCAATGCCCATTTCTAAGATCCCAATGTTTTGGCTTCTATAACCCATTTTCTGATCTGGGTTCCTTGCAGATCTGGTAGAAACTCTGCGATAACTGTTAAAGATGGGCCTCTCCCATCAATTTTCGATCTGGGTTCTGTTTTCCCTCTTGGTGCTTCAATCTGGAGATGGGTTTTATCTTCCGGGTAGCTACCCTCACAAATACCAGGTCGGCGATCTATTGTCGGTGAAGGTGAATTCTCTCACTTCCATCGACACTGAGATGCCCTTCAGCTATTACAGTCTTCCCTTTTGTAAGCCTCCAGGTGGTGTCAAGGATAGTGCCGAGAACTTGGGTGAACTCCTCATGGGTGATAGGATCGAGAATTCGCCTTACAGGTTTAAGATGTACACCAATGAATCCGAGATCTTCCTCTGTCGAACTGATCCCTTATCAGCTGATACCTTCAAGATTTTGACGAAGAGGATCGATGAGATGTATCAGGTCAATCTGATACTTGACAACCTTCCGGCCATTCGGTACACCAACAAGGAAGGTTACGTCCTCAGGTGGACTGGTTACCCTGTGGGGATCAAGGTTCAGGACCTTTACTATGTGTTCAACCATTTGAAGTTCAAGGTTCTAGTCCACAAGTATGAAGAGACCAATGTGGCTCGGGTGATGGGGACTGGGGACGCGGCTGAGATGATTCCTGCAGTCGAGAAGCCTGGATCAGAGGTTCCGGGGTACATGGTTGTTGGGTTTGAGGTTGTCCCTTGCAGCTTCCAACACAACCCAGAGGCCGTAAAGAACAAGAAGATGCATGAGAAGTACCCATCAACAATTAACTGTGATCCCACCACTGTAGCAATGGCCGTCAAGGAAGGCCAGCCGATTGTTTTCACCTATGAAGTCTTATTTGAGGAGAGTGATATCAAATGGCCATCAAGATGGGATGCCTACTTGAAGATGGAGGGTTCTAAGGTTCACTGGTTTTCGATTCTCAACTCTTTAATGGTTATCACCTTCCTTGCTGGAATCGTCCTCGTTATCTTCTTGAGGACTGTCCGGAGAGACCTTACTCGGTATGAGGAGCTTGACAAGGAGGCCCAGGCCCAGATGAATGAGGAATTGTCTGGCTGGAAGCTTGTTGTTGGAGATGTTTTCAGGGCTCCAAACAATCCAGCCCTGCTGTGTATAGTGGTAGGGGATGGGGTTCAGATTCTTGGAATGGCAGTTGTTACAATCTTGTTTGCTGCCCTAGGATTCATGTCTCCAGCTTCTCGTGGGACACTCATCACAGGAATGCTTTTCTTCTACATGATACTTGGTATTGCTGCGGGTTATGTCGCTGTTCGACTTTGGAGGACAATAGGATGTGGTGATTGTACAGGATGGGTTTCAGTTGCATGGCGTTCTGCCTGCTTCTTCCCTGGTATCGCTTTTCTGATATTGACCACTCTGAACTTCCTTCTGTGGGGTAGCCACAGCACTGGGGCAATTCCATTTTCTTTGTTCATTATCCTCCTTTTGCTATGGTTCTGCATCTCAGTTCCCCTTACCCTTGTGGGTGGGTACCTCGGAGCCAAGGCTCCTCATATTGAGTACCCAGTTCGGACCAATCAGATCCCTCGAGAAATCCCAGCTCAGAAATACCCATCTTGGCTGTTGGTTCTAGGAGCCGGAACTCTTCCATTTGGCACCCTCTTCATTGAACTTTTCTTTATAATGTCTAGCCTTTGGATGGGCCGTGTGTACTATGTTTTTGGCTTCCTGTTCATCGTTTTGATCCTTCTTGTTGTCGTCTGTGCTGAAGTGTCTCTGGTCCTTACTTACATGCACCTCTGTGTGGAGGACTGGAAATGGTGGTGGAAGTCCTTCTTTGCCTCGGGTTCAGTTGCCATCTACATCTTCCTATACTCGGTAAATTACCTTATATTTGATCTCAAGAGTCTGAGTGGCCCTGTATCTGCCACTCTTTACCTGGGGTACTCTCTTTTCATGGTTCTGGCAATTATGCTTGCAACTGGCACAGTTGGGTTCCTTTCATCTTTCTGGTTTGTTCATTATTTGTTCTCTTCAGTAAAATTAGATTAAACCTCCCCACCATGAGAAACATTCTTTTCAGAGCAATGGTGGAGATACAGAGATGTGAACAGTCAAGAATCCTGGTCATGCCCACATGAATTTTGTATTCTTTTTCTATCTTGGATTCATTGTGTTGTTCAGGAACTTGGTAAAGGTAATAATAACCTCATCCAGTTTCGCTTGAATTCTTTATTAGATAATTGCTGCATAACACCGTCTTACTTGCATTTGGAGGAATAGTAGTGGCAGTTATTGGTACGAGAGCATATTTTTTTTTCCTTTTTGTTTTCTCTTATTGGTTATTGAGAAGAAAAGCTTATGTAAGAATGCAGAATTTCATGATCTATTTTATTGATTATGATGTAGAGTTGCCTTCTGATTTTGTGTCTTTGAGAAGTCTATGATGGCCACCCATTTCCTGAGAATGTTTGGAAGTTTAGCCTCTTTTGAACATGATTGGCTCCTCCAGATACATGATATCTAGGTCCTAAGAGAGGCTGTCATGTTTCCATTTCTTCAATACCACACATTGTTTGCAGGAGATTTTGTGGCAATGTAGTGTAGGATGATTATGGTGATTGCTTCATCATTCTAATCTATCAATCCCCACACAAAGCAATTGGTTTCAAATTAGTTTCTTTCTCCATCATTTAGTGGTCATAAATGCAGGCTAGGTAATGTAAGTGGTGGTAGATGAGGTTAATAAGTTCTTCCATTGGCCATTGGTTGCACATTTTGGATATATCTTGAACGAATTTTCTGATTCATTCATTGAGGCAGTAATGGGTTCCAAGCGGTTCATTCGTCAGTATCACATTCAGAAGCAGCTATGAACTTCTGACCTAACACAAGCAGTATCACATTATAGATTACTGGCATTATGAAAAATTGCTTCTTTTGTGCATTAGAAATGAGATGCTGGGATAGTTTTTCAGCCAGAGTTTAGGCTCAACCTGGCACTGTTTAGGCCAATCGCCAAGTAGGCATCCCATCTTGATGCATACTAAACACCATACCTGAACATATGTATTACAGGTAACTCGTAACGTTATTTCACTAGAATCAGGGCATGACGAAATAAACTAGTTGCAACGAGAATAGCAAACTGAAAAGGACCCTTTGCATCAAGCTTTTATTTTGAGGTTTGATACTGTTTTGGTATTGTATGCCTTGCACGGTGTAACAGCTTGGAGCAGGAATGCAGGATACATCAATGGATTTTAACCCAACCATGCGACTGAGATTTTGAATATATTGGGTGGGCAAAATAAAACTAAAGCAATTCAACAGGGAGGGTCCACTTTGTTAGTGGCTAGTGCTCCTCGGTTAGGTTAAGATCCATTTAAAATCAAACAAACATATGGTAATGATCGCAAATGGGTTGTGTTGTGTGGGCAGCTTTAGCCGCATCCAAAATCAAAATGGGTATAGGCAAAGTGGTTGGTTGGTATTTGGGCTTATAGATCCAGCGCTTCATGATGTTGCCATGTGCCAACACAACTAACTACACCCAACACAAAGGAGACATTAAGAAATCACTGATGGAAACGACGACTAGAATATAAGTGAAAGAGGGGGAAGCAATAGAGGATATGGAAACTTTACACCAGCAACCAGCAAGGTGTTGGAGGAAGGTGTGTTGAAGGCAGAAGCGAAGACATTTGTTATGGAAGAAGAAGTATCGTGGCCTTGTGGGTCTTAATTAGAACTGAGGAAAAGCCTCCCTGACCCTGATGTTAGCACTAATTAGCAGAATGAGCTATTTCTTCTTTTGATGTCTAGCAAAGGAAGTGGTTGGCAGTTAGTTGAGTTGGTAGTTATGTTTGTTATATTAGTTGGGATGTTAGACAGTTATATTAGCTGGCAGTTATGTTTGTTATATTAGTTGGTGATGGTGCGCAATCTGGCCGGTCCTAACTGTCAACGATCTTGCCTCTGACTGGAGCAACAGGGGGCTTGAAACGAAGAAGAAAGTGGGGAATCTCCGGGGAGGAACCCTGTGAGATTGCTCCGAAGCTCAAGTTAGTATTCTCTCAAATGCAAGATAAAACCATATGGCGCAAAGTTCACATACCTTGTTTTTGGGGGGTAGAGAACCTTTTATAACCACTTCGTGCACTCACTCCTATGCTTCTGTTAGGTTGGGTATGATTACTTCTGTGCTTCTGCCAGTTTGGGTGTCATCACCTCTGCTAGGGCAGAACTGCCACTATTCTCTTTGTCGGAGCTGTCTCTGTAACTGGAGATGGCGGTGGCAGGTGGCAGTGGTAGGTGGCCGTTGAAGTGCGGATGTCAAGCGTCAGATCCCAAGTCAGTCAGGTGCACCGCCCCTGGATACGTACCCCTTTGGTGTCAGGTACAGTGCGGTTTGTTTAGTTCGGTGTCCTGGAGGCGAAGTGCTGGAGTGGTGTGCGAGGTTAAGTCTCGAGTTCGGATAGAGGTGTGGCCCGAACTCCCATGGGCAGGCCAGTTCGGGTTGTTGCCCTTTGTGTTCGTAAGGCTCGGGCTCCTTACAGGGAGTTCGGGCTCCTTGCAGGGAGTTCGGACCGTTGGTTCCTCCTTCCGGAGCTCGCGCCTTGGCGTGCTGTTGTGCCGAGCTGTTGCCTTTGCCACGTGTTGAGTGGTTACGAGGTCGGGCCAAATCTTCCTTCATCAATTGCCCCCACTCCTCGCACTAAGGGTCTTGCCCTGGCGCGGGGAGTTCGCGAGGTGGATGGTGGATTTGTCCCGTACTTTGAATTGGTTGACTGATAGCGCGAGGTGCGCGTCGTCAGGAATTTTTTTGGGTTTTCTCGACTGCCAAAAAGACGGGAAACGTGTCAATCTGCCTATAAATGCTGACAGATGTGACAGTGCGCACCTTATTTCAAAATTCAAAAAGTGCGCCGCTGGGAGACGTGACAGCGGGCATCTTTTCAAAATTAAAAAAGCGCCGCTGCCGCCTTTAATGCAAGGCGACGTGTGCTGGCGCTCTTTTAGTTTCAAAAGACGTGCGGCCATTCACGTCTGTCTGAGGAAACGTGCGGTCAGCGCGACTATGGGCCGTCGAATCTGCTTTGATCAGAATCGTTGATTTTTGGTTACTATGGGTATAAATGGTGGGGGACCCCAATCGCTTTGTCACTTCTGCGTTTTGCTTCTTGAGCTTGCGTACAAGTTTTAGCTCGCGTCTAAGCCTTTAGCTCGCATTCAAGCTTTTAGCTCGCGTTAAAGTTCCCATAGTCTGTTCAAGCCTTTTTCCGGGTGAGTACTTTCCTGGAATCCATCTTCTCCTCCCGATGTCTAGCTTGGATAGTTCAGACAGTTCTTCAAGGGGGTCAGATGCAGGTTCTACGAATTGAGTTGCATCCCCCGACAGTCCTAGCGAACCGGAGGTAGAGCTCAAGGAAGAATTCGAACCCGTAGGTCGAGTCACCTCGGGTAGTTTGGCGTCCTCCTCTCGTCGAGGTCGGACGTTAGACAAGTTTGGGCCCTCGACCATGACGCCTGAGGGTCTTCACTCCCTTATTACCCAGTTCAACTTGCCTAGGGAGTACACCTACTTCATACCCTCGTTGCGAGGTTGCGCCTGCCCTTCCACCACCTCATTGTCGAGGTTATGAACCACTTCGGCGTTACTGTCGGCCAGGTTCACCCGAACTCCACTCGTAACTTGGTGGGGACAATCTCCCTATTTTGCGAATAGGGCTTGCCTTTAGACATGGAGATCTTCTCTTCCATTTTAATGTTTAAGAAGCAAGCGGGTCCCCTTCCCGGGCGTAGGCAGATGTATTACCTGTCTCCTCGCCCGGGTTTTAAGCTTTTACACGAACTTCCCAACAAGGTCCCGACGTAGAAGCGGGACTACTTCGGGGTGCGAAGTGCATTGGGGTGGCCGTTCCAAATTGGGTGGGGGATGACCGCCCCTGACGCCGGTGTTATGCTTGATAAGGAGACGACGAAGGGCCTCCGACAATGGGCACGACTTGGGCTAAAATGCCATCATTATCTTTCAGAGGCCAAGCTCATTGAGGCCGGTCTAAGTTCGGGTAGGTTCCTTACTCAGAGGTTTGTCTTTTGTTTTGCTCTGTTCTTTCATTTTTTTTTTTCTGATGCCAAGCTCATTTTGCAGGTGTGATGGTCTTGGAGAGGACTCGTGGTGGGCACCTGTTTCATGGCATGAAGAGGAGGAAGCGAGTTGCCAAATGAACTCGTGTCGAGCTGCCCCAAGATGCGGAGCCCGAGGCAGCAAACTACCCGTCAGTGGATCCGCCCAGGGAGCCCGAGATGGCCCCTCCAGTACATGAAGCGGAAGGGGCCCCTTATGTCGAGGCTACTTACACGGGGGCTCCTGCTTACTCTGAGTCTGCTTATACGCGAGCTGGGCCCTCAGGCTCGGGAGCACAAGGCGAGTTCAGGAGCGTGTTGTCGTCGAACCACGCTCTTCAGAAGAGTAGGGAGGCCATCTATCCTGAGGAGGTCGCGGCATGGACCGAGCTTCCTTTGAACCAGGTAGCTTGTCGTGCTGCCACTCATGCCATGGTGGTAAGTCAGATTTCTTGTCGGGCTCTTTTCTTTTATCCTTCTTGTTGTTGTTCTTTTGATCACTTGTTCTTTCCTTTTGGTAGGTGAATTCTTCTATCCATGCCTTGGTGGCCCAAGTGGAAAGGAGCTCGAGGCAGGCGCGACCTGCCGAAGAGGCTTTCCGTGTTGCCGAGGCGACTTCCCGAGCTGTTGGGGCGGCTGTTCGCGCTGCGCAGGCCAAGCAGGCGAGGTCTCAGAGAGATGTCGAGGCCATGGGAGTTGTGGTGAAGCATATGGCAGACCTGAGACTGGATTTGCAGCATCAGGTTGAATACCTTTCAAGAGGACATTAGGGAGATGACACAGATCTTTTCTCAAGGCATCGAGGATGTCAAGAAGAAGGCCGTCGATGAATACATCGCCTCGTCGCGTTTTGATGACATGATGGTTGACTCGTACAGGAGGGGCTTCAAACTAAGCCGGTGGATGATCCGGAATACGTACCCCGAGCTCGATATTAGTGCGATATCGACTTCGCGCATTACTCAAGAGATGGCCGACGCCGCTGATGGTGAGCCGGATTCTGGGCCTGTGAGCTCGACATATATATATATATATATACTTTTTTTTTTGGAAATGTACACCCTTATTTTGAAACGGAATGACTTTCTTTTGGTTAAGTGTTGGTTGTTCTTTCTCCCGAACTGATCGTATTTGCCGAACTGACCATATGCCCGATCCGTTTTTTGCCCGGGTTACTACACTCGTGCGGCCTGATTTGGTGTTAATACTTGGCCTCTGAGATGTCGATGCCCCAATAAGTTCGTTGTCAACACTTCGCCTGAGCCTTTGGTTGGCACTTTTTTCCTTTGCTTGCCTATGCCG